TCCCCCCCCCTCCTCCCCTTCCCCCCCTCCCTCGGAATCAGAGGGATGGATTTGTATCATTCAACAGGTCAACGCATCCCAGTCTGGTGTTTTACGGCTCTGCTACAAAGCCACGCTCGGGATAAATCCGTGCTAAGTGCATCAAGTCCAGTGCAACGAGAGTCTGAAACAGCTAGTCCGCATGTCATTCATCCCGTGTTTCGTCCAGAAATAGTAAGCTCGCAGAGTAAATATATTCCGACCTCTCTTCGAGCCAGGTTCTCAAGCTCTCTGGGATCGGATCCAGCAGGTCAAGGCCTGGTGGTTCGCCTGAGAGCTGCTTCAAAGAATTTGAAAGCCTGTAGGAACAGGGGGTTCGACAGGAAGTGCGGCCGGTTGCTCAATGTGTTGCAGCGCACTGTCGTCTCGATGTTCCCCAATTTGCAAGTTCTTCAAAGGAGCTGTCAAGAGCTGGGATTTGATCCGGGGCCCAGCGAAGCCAGCACTGTCTAAGCTGTGACAAGTACGGCAGAATGCGTCTTTCCAGCACACCGGATTGCAGACAGACTGGCGAGAAAAGCGTGAATTTCAGGTGTCCTGAGCTACATGTAGCTGCCGGGGTGCAGTGGCGCGAAGCAAAATCCTTTGAACCTCACTTTTCCTCATGCCGCTGCTGCTCAAGTTGAGCAGGCTAAATGTGACAGACGTCCCGAGCACCTTCGAAGCCTTGAGCAAGTTAAGGTCTCTTCGTGCGTTGACCCAGCCTGTTGCAATAAAAGAAGGATCCAAAAGAGCATGCAGCAAAACGTTCAAGAGTCACAGAAGCTGCCGCTCCGCTTTTGGTTTCGGAGACCTTGTGGGCCGTCAAACGGTGAATGAGAAAGGCTCGAATCAGAAGCACACTTCTGCCATACCTACCAGAAGACTGTGCAGGCACCGGCTAAACAACGGAGCGCTCAAAGCACATCAGGTGGCCGGCTTTCTAGTTCTCGCGACCATTCTTGCATCCGCTCGTTGCGATTTCGATGTGAGGAGGTGAGACTCGCCATTTAGTATGGGGACGACCCGAGCTTGAGAGCTCCAGTTCGGCGCTGCACTCAGATGAAAAGCTTCGCCAGGCGACGAAGGCCATTTAACATCCTAATGTCATCTAATGTCCGTGCAGCTCGCAGGGGTACAAAGATACGCCTACCTCAAGGCACTTGTGATGCAGATTGTTCAACAACATTGTGCACAAGCAAAGAGCAAATTTGCTATCGAACCCAGAAAAACTCCATTGTTCAACCTTTGATCTACGCAACGATATATGCATTCATGCATTCAAGGCCTGAAAATGATTTGTGGCTGCGCATCTGCTTGCGAGCTTGATCGTTTGCTGCTTTGCGCATAGAGCTGCTGAGGGTGAAGACATCTTCAGCCCCTTTGAAGGGATGGAGGGTCGCAGGCCCACAATATTTCTCAGATCAGGTAACATGTTTTTGTCTTCGTCTTCTCCAGGGGGCCCAAAGGTTCGCCAGGTTCGCCAGCATCGGCGAGGTCTGCGAGTAAGCCCTCTCCGATCCACAAAGTCTTGCTCTGTGCGTTGGCTAAAGTCGAGGCGGAGGCAGACGGACCAACGGGCGCAGGTGCAGAACACATTTCCCCACACATCATGCAGTCAGGGGTCCTCGATGGCGCTTGTACGGGCCGGTCATCGAATTTAAGCTTCCCAGTGCAGCTCTTCTTCATCCCGAGCATGCCAGGCGTCCAGCTCCCAACAGCATGTCCATGACTTTGACACCTCCAATCCTTCCAGCTCCGTGGCCTGTTCGCATTTTGGAGCTGTGGTTTGCACTTGTCCTGAATCTATGCGAGTCTTCGTGTTTACTAAGACCAGCTTTACCGAAAGCTCCGACAGTCACAATCATCCGAATGCTAAAAAGGCCAGCGTGGAGCATGAAGCAATGGTAGCCTTCAATTTATGACCCCTATATGCAGAAAGGAGGTACACACGATGGCTTCGACAGCATGGGCTAAGGCTTGACCGCCATGCCATGCCAGCCTGTGTGTGTTCTGGTCTTTGCCCTGCAGGATGATGTGAAGAACTTCTACGAGAGGCTGAAGCAAGTGGCAAAGCACACCTCTCCCACGAACAGGCTGCGCCTATCTGCATGGATGTCTTTCCAGATTCTTGCAGGCTTTCTTTTTCTATGACGTGATAGTGGTTTTATTGGTGTTTTGTTTCGTGGGCAGTTCTCGGTCTCCTTTCAACCCAAGCCAGTGCCAGGGCGCCAAATCAGGGCAAGCCAGAATAACCTCAAAAGATATTTGGCAGGAACTCTGCTTTCACATCAGACATCAGGGCCCCGAAGAAACGCGGTCCAACATCTAGTACGTTTGGTCAAGCAGTTTTGCATACTCGGTTTCAGATGTTGCTTTAAGCGCGCAAGGAATGCCTGTTGGCACAGCACGCATGCACACTGTGATTGTTCCTTGAGAACTGGCTAGCACAAAATCTTTTGGCATATCAGCCATCCTCTGACAGATCCACATATGACTTGAGGGTAAGCCTGCATGCCTGTTTGAACTGGCTTGCATGGGCCAGTGGCCTGGATCCACGTGCATTCGAAACATGCTACTTGTTTTGTATGTCACCCTTTTTTGTCATGTGTCCAGGCATAGATAGTAGTCTGTTGGATGCCTACCCCAGTGTAGCATCTACGTCCAGATTGGCATATCTGAAAGATGTCAACAACGCAAGAAAGTTGCTGACATCCGGACAAGCTTCTCCAACGGAGGGCGTTTCTATGAACCTGAGGGGGCGCTCACAGCGACCTCCATGGAAATATTAGTTTCAGTGCGTTGCTGCTGGCCAGGGTACCGTAGAGCGACCCATTTCGACTATTGTGATTCTCGGTCAAGTTGACAGCTCAGTATGCATGCACTTGCTGTCCGTTCAATTTGTGGCGTGTAGCAGCTCGTGCATTATTGGCTTCGGATACCTTAACGATTTATAATGTGTACTGCCAATGAAAAGTTTGTGGGATTTTAGAGGACGCAACTTGGATGATCATACGTATCCCCTGGCTATGCACAGTTTCGTTTGTAAGAGACAGTCACAGTGTTGGGAGACGTGTTCTGCTGAATGGCTAACGAAAAAAAGGATGTGCAACAATGAACGTGCCTCCATCAAGCAGCTCGTTAGAATCCAAAACGATGCCAAACTCTCACGGAGCCAAACCAGCCTTGAACCATGATCAGAAACTCCGGACGCAAGAACATGACGAAAAGCTTTTTACCAACCCACTGGCTGTGATTCCTGTTTGAGACTCTCTCAGGGCAAGCCTTGAAAAAAGGGCGACAACTTAAGAACTTGGGCTACCCCCAAGCCCTGGATAGACCATCCGCTGAATTCCAGAATCAACTAGCTGTTACAACACAGCAGCGCGATGCTTCATGTCATTTGAGCATGTTCTTTCCCACAATGTGGCAGCAGGCCACAAGTTTTGCTGCACCAACAACTTCCCTAAAATTCGGGCGGTGAATATTTTTTTGCTAGGGCTCCCACGTTTTGCCACATTTTACACGTTTGTGTTCCAAGAGCATGCGGTGACCGGAGCACCAATGCTCAAACCCCAATAACGTTTGTGTTCCAGAAGCATGGTCACCAGAGCATCCATGCCCATTACTACAATTACACTCGTGTTCCAAGAGCATACGGTGACCAGAGCATCCAAGCCCAAACCATAATAATGTTTGTGTTCCAGAAGCATAGGGTCACCAGGGCATCCATGCCCAAACTATAATATACTATGATTACGTTCGTGTTCCAAGAGCATACGGCGATGCCCAAACCATAATAACGTTTGTGTTGCAAGAGCATACGGACCAGCGTCCGAACCATAATATCGTTCGTGTTGAGCATACTGTGACCAGAGCATCCATGCCCAAACCATAATAACGTTCGTGTTCCGAGCATACGCTGACCAGAGCATCCATGCCCGAACCATGATAACACGCATCGTTCCTCTTCGGCTAAGGATCATTCCCATTAGTCCAAGCTACGCCCCATCAGTCCAAGCTCGCATTTGTCCAAGGTTCGTTCCTGTTGGTCCAAGGACCCGTTCGAAGCCAGCGGCTTGCACCTTGAGAACCTCAGCAAGTGAGAAGAAAAAAGGTGAGCTATGTCCTCCCGTGCCAAAATTGTATTAAAGTCGGCTCCGCCGAAAACGAGCATTTGCTACCTTCGAACAGCCCGAAATACTGTAAATTACAGTGGATTCTGTGCCTCCTGAACCCTTTTCTGGATGAATTAATTGTCTTTGCAAGCGAGATATAGCGCGAAAACCCCACACTTTGCAACCGTCCTCGGAGTCCTTGAAACTTGCCCGAAACTGTGGCGAGAGCAGCATTCTCGCACCAAACGCTGGACAGAAAACCGCGCAGCCGGATGCTTTTGCTGACTTGTAGACGTGCTGTTCCTTGATAATTACCTTTCGAAACCCAAGCGTACTCACCTTTCCAAATGTTGAAGAGGCAGTCCAGGATTCAATGTCATTCTTGAATCGAATTATCCATTTGCAATTGGAGAGGTTTCCGTGTTGCTTGGCTGAAGCAGGACAGCTTGGGACGCTGATGCAAAGAAAGTCGAAGAGTTAGCGAAGGTCCTCGGAAACAAGGCAGGGTGCTTCGCACAAAAAAGCCACGCCAAGAGCACTGCAGATTTTTGGAGGACTTTTGGGACTCTGAAGCAGACGACAATGATGACGATCCAAGCGATGCTGAAGAGGGCGAAGGAGATCCTCCAATACCATTTACAGAATGACAGTCAGCCTTCGTCAGCTGACCGCTGCAGGTGCATGGTCTGTCGGATCCGAGAATCATGCAACAGGACAGTGCAGGCTGGACCAAGACTTTAAGAGAGACGCTGTCTCGGACGCAACATGCATGGCAGGCCTTGCCACTATGCGCGCAGCTCAACCCATTTTTCAGCTGTGTGTCGGCAGATGATAGTGCAGCTATGCAGGTCTTTGCAAAAAGCGGGTGTACAAACGGAGAATCGCACCATCCTGAGATTTGTTTTTTGTTGCGTGAGATGTTTAGAAGTTGTTCTGCTTTGTGCGCTTGGGAAAGGAGCTGCTTTTTTGCTGAGGTGTACTTTTTGTCATCTGCCTCATCCGAAGAGGTTCCGGCCGCGACCCTGCAAGTCCGCATCCCGGGACCCCGGAGCACACTGCGCCAGTCACGTTTGCAAAAGTCAGGTCCAAGCGGTACAAGTGCAAACGCTTGGCCGCGGTGTTGGACAAGGTCATACTCATTTCAACGAGCGCGGGTGCAAGCAACCAATCTGGCCTGCACGGCAGGTGTTCGACAATGACCCAGACTCGTTTCAGAGTGTGGTGGAGCAATTAAGTGCTCAAGGCACTGGGCAGCTGAAGTTAGCTGCCTTTACCTGGGTTGTTTTCTTCGCAGGTGGATATCTGAATACAGTCGTCAAGAGCAAGGTCAGAAGCCTGCAACAGAAGACTCAGGTCCAAGCTGTGCTGAAGCTGTGCCTGCATTTTGACCGTCTTTGCAAATATTTGGGTGTCCCAAAGTTTATTCATTGATGTTATTTATGTCTTGAACATGTGTAACATGGTCGCTGGTAACTGAGGCTTTCCAATGTTTCAAAACACTGCGCAGCCATGGGCTGTAGAACTTCGTAAGTAGCTCGGAACTCTTCCAACAAGCCTTATGCGACAAAATACATGGCTACAAATGATCTGACTGCTACACATGATCTTCCTTCCCTGAACCCTCTCGGTCTGCTGCAGGCTCCAGAACCACAAGAGAAAGAGGTCCGCCGAGTGCTGAAGCCAGGTTTGGTGTCTCTCTAGCTTTTAGCAGCTTTTGCTGTAGCATCCTGTAGCTCGTGCTGGCTTTGGGGCCAAAGCACTTTAATGCGATCCTGGCTGTAAAGCGCAAGGAGTCGCAGTTTCTTGTAGTCTTGTAGCACGGCCATGCAAAGCAAGCCTTAGGGAACACATTTTCAATCAATCTCCTCTGTCTCGCCATCAGCATGTCGAAGGCCATCGCTGATGATGATGATGCTTATGATTCTGGACCTTTGTTTTTTGTTAACTGTTTTCCACCACCCACCTGGATACGACCCATTAATTGCCACTGCAGCGAGCAGGGCCTCGGCCTCATCCCCATGATCGGGTTCAGCTGGTAGCATTTCTTTGTGTTTTTCCGAGAGGATGCACAGCATGTGCGCTCAGCGACTTTCCGCACAGCTGCCCTCCCTTGCAACTACCCTTCCGAACAGGTGACAGGTCACGTGATCAGCAAGCAGCAACTGCTCAAAGCATTTTGCTGCATGGATGTGTTAATGCACAGACATGCCGAAAGGTGTCAGGCAAAAATCTGATCCGTTGATTGTAACTCGCATTGAATTGAGGTTGGAGCTGAATGAGACGCATGAGGTCTGCAATGCTATATTTGCATGTGTGTCTGTAGCTGGGGGCTCTTCATGTGCCGTGTAAGTCCAGATGAGGCAGAGTGAAGGCGTGCCTTCAGCATGGTATGTCGCATTATAGAGACCAGATGATGATGATGATGATGATGATGATGATGATGAAACCTAGCGACCTAGCGACCTAGCGACTTGCTCGTGGGTGCCATCAGTTACGTGGTGGCCGTAACATTCTGGCTTCATGGATCTTTACACTTTGACATCTGTGACTAATGATGGCTTATGGTGAGCGCTTCCCATGGGAAAGCAGAAGACCAAGCCACAGAAATTGCCGGCGGGGCCCAGAACCAAGCAGCTGCCCAAGGCAAGAATTGAAAGCAAAGAAGGCTACAGGGCTCGCTTGCAAAATGCTCTCCTACAGCGAGACAGGCCAATGCTGCGAAAAAGAAGCAGGAGCCTCTGATTGTTGGCCGGCGCCTTACGTCCAGTTAAGCCTCCTTCCGTTCAAGCGCAAAGCTTTGGCTGTCCTTCTCAGAGTCGGAGTGCATTCACGAGAGTGCCAGCTTGGCTGGTATGAGCAACTATGACAGTGGCAAGCAAGTATAATAACCTATCCAGCATTGGCCGAAAATGCGCATTTTCTGCAGCATGCGTCTTCGAGAAGCCATCCAAAACGAAGCAGGGTCCTCCTGCAAACTTTTCCAGAGAGCTCAGCATCGGCTCTTGCGAGGCCACCAAAGGCGGCCGGCTCTTCGTGGGGCTGCGGCGAGCAGCTGTCAGCAGCCTCGCCCAGTGGGTCCCACACAGACGGCCGCGAAGAGACCAGTTTCTTTCTCAGTGCGTACAGGAAACAGTGCAAGTGACAGCAAGTGTCTTGTGTCCAGAAGCGTCTGCGAAGGAAGACGCAAAGACGAAGGTAGAAGACGATCTGCTGGGGTTGGATGCGAACGTGGTTTCCTCCGCCCCTTGGGATGATCTTCAAATCTGTCGGGTACTCGGAGCATCTCAGACACAAACCAGTGGGCTAGCTGCACTATTGGGACTGCCTTGTTCCATCTTGTTCCCAAGGCCTGCTCAAGCTGGACAAGCGGCTGCCCGAAGAAACCTGGCAAGATCATCTTGTATTTTGATGTAGTTGCAACTCTCAGAATCTGCGATCAAATTCCAGCAGCAGCTGCCTTGCGAAGCCTTTCGAAGCAGTAGTGTAACGCACTTAAAGGGATCCCAGGATGGCCGTTTCGAGCTGCTGGAAGTGTATCAACTGACCTGGGAGGATGTGACGCATCTGAAGAGTCATGTCTGGTAGCTGTCTCGTAGCTGTCTATTAGCTGCATCTTTGGAGGTGATTCTGAAAGAAGCCAGGGCCCAATGCATCTTGGAGGTGTGGGGCAGCTGGAGTGACTTTTGTCAAGTCCTTTGTTGGCACTTGTTCCACCAGGCACGTTCCCAGAGAACGACGCTTTCTGGTTTCTGCTGCAGGTGTGCAGATGAAACCTGGGCCAAAGTGGACATGACGCAGGTGGTCTCATGATGTCTCATGTGCTGGGCTGATATCTCCGTCACTCTCTGTTCACGACGATTGCCGTGAGGCAGCTGGCGAGCAGGTGCGATCTGGATCGGGACTCGATCGCAGGTCGGTGTGCTGTTCAGGACCACACATGTGTTTTTCAGGCACGGTCGCACTGCTTGGAAATGGGTGCCGCGAATGGTGTTTTGGTCTCATCTCGGTGGATCGGGCAAGTCGAGACGTATGGCTGAAAGCACCCGGCAAGCTGGGAGACTTGATGAGCAGTTGATGTTGGCATGGTTGGTCAACTGAACGCACACCAAAGCTGCATAATGCAACACGCATCTTGTAACCTGCTCCCATCTGTCTAAGGACCTGGGATGCTGCTGTCCATTCGGATGCTGGATTGCTGCGTCACGGCACCTGCAAGAGAGCTTGAAGCTGTGAGGCGCCCGGGTTGTGAACACATGCATAGTTTACTAATCCATGCTCCAGAAAGCGATCGCACCAGCCGGCTGTGTAAAACGCAGTCTTTGGAGAGGAGCTGCTTTCCACTACAGGCTCTCAACAGCGTTTGTGTCGATTTGAATTCTTGGTTTCATGGCTGGTTGGAGTAGGGCCCGGCAAGGTCGTGAGCGTTATGTTGGCTTCCTGAAATCTTTGTCGCGCCCGCCCACCCTTCACGTCCTGACGGCCTGATTAGGGGGAGTCCATGTGCGGACCATCTGATCTTTCACAGATCCCATCACTTCATCTCTTCAAGGCTTGGATCCAAGAATCAAACATGTCCACCCATGGTCGACCTTTGGTGTTGCATGTATCCACGCTGGGCTCTCTTCCACCAAACACCATCAATTATGTGATCGTAAACTCCCCAGCTCCCAGTTGATACAAGCCCTGAACAAGCTGCATTGCCGGGTCTCATTCTCACAACAGCGAAATCAGAAGAAGATGAGCCACATGCTCGCTGCAGGGTTTTGAGGGTCAGCTGCTCACAGCCATTGCAGTTGCAAACGTTTCGCAGTGGCTTGCATTTTTTCACAACAAGCTGCCAATCTCTTTGGCATCTCAGACTGAGGTGCCTGCTGTTCTCAAGCAGCCACTTCCCCATTTCCAGTTATCACCTTGCGAAGCAGTCGCAGTCAGCACTCAAATCTGATACTGCTTGCTGTAGGCTGCGGTAATGAAAGGAGCAAGCATTTGTACGTGTGTTTAGCTTTGCAGACTCTGTAACATACTTGTGGAGCTCCCACTGATTTGATAGTAGATGTTATGTTCAGGAGCAGGTCCAGTTTAGGGGTAGCTGCCCAGCCGACCACGAAATAATGGTCTCAGAACAAGGGCTGTCTGCGAAGCCTTATGCATCTGCTCATTCTGTGGGAATTTCGTGGTATCTTTGATTGGATGCTAGGGCGCCTGCCAAGTCGTGCTCCTTACTACAGGAAATCGACAGTGAAGTGCTGTAGCATGGCTCGACTCGTGTTGTTAAGCTGGATGCCAGGAGCATGAAGCGAGTGCCCCAGGCTCTGGTGCGCGAATTGCTTGGCCACGGGGTTTCACGAGACCCTTTGAGCGGTGACTTGGCAAATTTCACAAATGATCTAACCATCAACTTCTGGTAGTTCTCAGTACCGGGGAAGCCCAACATAGACGTACTTATCTTTTGAAAAGCCCATGGAAGGCATAAGACTACTTTTAGGGATTCCCATGATTTTACAGTTATAGTCGATCAAAAGTCTTATCCTTCCATGGGCTTCCTATGTTTTAGAGGGATTTTCATTCGATATGTTGGGGGGGGCTAGAGAGTCCACCTCGTAGTATTCAGGGGACAGAATCTGATCTTCATGCGGGATTTCCGAGCGTTGTTGAGGACTTGCTTATGATCTTATGCGCTGATGACTTGCTCCAAACTGCCAGGACAGCATGTGCGAACAAGCTGTTCAGTCTATCCATGCACGTAAGGAACAATCCAGTAATCCCATGTGTACCACTTCCAGGATAGGAGTAACACCATATGTATTTCTTCCAGGATAGTGGGGCTTCGAGATAAGCTCAAATGTTGTCTGGCGGGAGCATCCATGCAATTTTGAGGGGCCTTGCAATAAATAGTGCAATACTGATTTACTAGCGTCACTTGCTTCGGTCTTGCGATACCATGCCGTTGTCGTCGCTGTATGGTGGCGCCGCACACTCCGCGGAGGACAGTGGCGAGAATGAGCCTTTGGGAAGCAGTACTGAAGCAGTCCCGATCATAGACTAATAGAGTAGTGCGTAATTTAGTAAGGCTGAGTACCCTCTGTTAGAACTTAGTAATTCAAGGTCAGCTCGGTCCAGATCTCCAATTCGGCGGCAGCCTTTCGTAGCTGCTGATTGGGCCGCTCACTTCATGAGGGCGACTGGTTTGCAGCAGACAGCCTTGCAGATTCCTCTCACTGACCCTCTGGTGACTTGGCCCACGGATAACTGGACCATATCTTTCTTTCAAGTGCATGATGCTGCCAGCATGTATGGCAAGATTTCCGAGGTAGTGGCAACGGCGTGCTCAGGCACTGGCGCGCCCAGCTATGCTCTTCAAGAGCTGGTGGGCAGACATAATTTTTCTGAGGTGATTTCCTCGGAAAAACATGCTACTTGCCTGAAAGAGTGGTATACTATGGATGGCGTCGTCCGTGTTTGTTTTTTTGGTGTATCAAGTTTGTAATGATCTGGTCTGCGGAGCATTTGAGGGACCCACGCGCCGCTTCTTCATGCAGAACCACGACGTGCACCACTGCTGGTCTGACATGGCTTCCGCACGGACTGTTTGCGTGCCAAGTGATGACCTGCATTTGTAGTGTATTTGTCCTTTATCCTCATTTGTACGCTCCTTGTTGCAGGACGGGCGGGTATTGTGCAGTTCACCAGCAGTCTTGTTC